TACTGGGGCATCGGAGGATAATCCTCATGGCTTCGTTTTGCATCTTTTCCAGCCCTCCAAGCATTCTCTCGGGCACTAGAGCAAGCATGGGTGCAGCATAATCAATTAGAGACCTAATATATGAGAGATACATCATTTTGCCAATTCTCACATTTGCACCATAGCCTGGATGGTAGCCTGCCACAGCCTTGAGAGCACGGAGCCTCTCTCTACATTGGAGACCAGTCTGGCTACAACATTGCGGTACAGTGGAACCTCAAGACCAAGGTATTTGTATCTGGTTCCACAGTCGAGCATAGAGCCATCATGCAACTGCATTTTTGCGAACGGCCCCACGCCGTCTGGGTGGGCGTCGGTTCAGGATCTTTGTTTTCTCTACCGAGATGACTAAGTCTAGTTCCTGACATGTGTGAAATACAGAATTCAGAACGTTTTGGGTGTTGGTATACCCATTGGTGTGGATCAGTATATCATCCCCATAGCTAATGATGTGTTCGAAGGGCCTCCTAGTTACTGAGTTTAAAAGTGCATTGATTAACACATTGAACAGGGTAGGACTGATGAAAAGGGAAAGCTCTCAGCCTACTAACAGGAGTCACCAGTCGTCTCTTCTCTCCAGCGTAACCTGAACCCCCTTGTGTACATAAAAAATGAAAATAAAAATCAGACTCACAATTGATTACGTCAACCCGTCCTCACACCAACCCGTCCTCACACCAACCCGTCCTCACACCAACCCGTCCTCACACCAACCCGTCCTCACACCAACCCGTCCTCACACCAACCCGTCCTCACACCAACCCGTCCTCACACCAACCCTCACACCAACCGTCCTCACACCAAACCCGTCCCTCACACACCAACCCGTCCTCACACCAACCCGTCCTCACACCAACCCGTCCTCACACCAACCCGTTCTCACACTCGGCAAAACTGAGCTGCGATTGGCCTCAACACCGCAGTTGTCTTTTTTAACTTACCGTTTAACCAAAAACTCAATTTGGGTGGATATATAAATTAATATGCCTGCAGTTTATCATTTTGTGTAGAGGTAGGCTTAGGATTGGTTAGGGAAGGTGTTTGGGTCGTTTTGGCAATTACGTATATATGCCGTATGTGCGTAGAGCCTTTAAAGTGACACCATTCAAATACAGGAAGAGAGCGAAGCGCTGTTTTAGAAAAGTTCAAACCTAATCAGTCTGTTTTCAGGTCTAAAATGATTTTCATTCACAAGCAGGTAGTTTGATGGCTGGATAAAGGAGCACTTAGCCACTGTTTATACGGACTGGTTAAGAGCCCAAGTGATGTTCCAATTTTTTTCGAACATTACCTCGCTCGCGGCCTCTGTTCGAGTTGCACCTTTATAAATGCTTAAAGCGCTGCAAATACAAGTAACAACTGAACCTAAAGACCTATCTTATCAACTAAACCTAACCTTACAATTGAACCTAACCTGATAACGGAACCTAACCTGATAAGTGAATCTAACCTTACAACTGAATCTAACCTGATAACGGAACCTAACCTGATAAGTGAATCTAACCTTACAACTGAATCTAACCTGATAACGGAACCTAACCTGATAAGTGAGTCTAACCTTACAACTGAATCTAACCTGATAACTGAGCCTAACCTAACAACTGAACCTAACCTGACCACTAAAACTAAAGACCTAACCTAACCTAACCTAACCTAATCTAACTTTACACGAATTCATAACACATTATAATATTGTTGTATACTTGAAACAACATCGATTTTTAATACAGAGAGCTAGAAAGGTGATGAAATGTGTTAATGGGGTCGGCCGCAGGGTGGATAAACATAACATCAGGACGGGATGCGGTTTTGAGTTGTGCGTAAAGTTATTTTTTTTTTTCATTCATAAGCAAAAGTTTTGTAGATGGATTAACGAGCATTTGGCCATTGTTGATGAGGACGCGCTGTGGAGAGTACCACCGCTGGTGCGGCCCGTTCTCTCAGTTTGCCACCCCCATGACCAACCCAAGTAACCTGCCTAACCTATCGAGGCCCAGGTATAGAAAACGTCACATTTGTTATTGGATTGGGCGATATGGTAAATAAATGCGACGCATTAGGCAAGATGACAGATTGTATCGCAGCCCAACAGTGGACATCTACCTGTCCGTCTAACAGTGGGGCATCTACCTGCCCGTCCACCGGTGCACATCTACCTGTCCGTCTAACAGTGGGCATCTACCAGCCCGTTCACCAGTGCACATCTACCTGCCCGTCCACCAGTGCACATCTACCTGCCCGTCCACCGGTGCACATCTACCTGCCCGTCCACCAGTGCACATCTACCTGCCCGTCCACCAGTGCACATCTACCTGCCCGTCCAACTGTGGACATCTACTTGCTCTCAAGTACTTGGCTCAAGTTCTCACCGGACAAGCCACCGACCGGGCTTAGGAAGTAGGACAGAAAATCGACCACATGTACAGGACTAGTAGTCATCAAGTATTTACACGACCCCCTTACGAAACCTGTACATCTTTCCTCGATCATCCCGGCTATGTTTACACTTATTAAACAGTTTATGAGCCCCCGAAGCGCTACGAGGTTGTTTATAACAATAATAAACTTGGGTTGGGAAGTTTTGAAACTAATCAACTGTTTAATAAATGTAAATAAAGCCGCCGCGATTAAAGAAAGATGTACAGGTTTCGCAAGAGGTTACGTAAATGCCTAATCAATCCTGACAGAGGTTCGCGCTCACTATCTGCACGCTAGTGCGTAATGTAGTGCCTTTCAAGCAGGGTTCAGGGAACCTTAATTCCTCGGTGACTCCGCGAGAAATGTACTGTATATAAAAATAAAATATATAAACATTGATCACAAAATACATATAAATGCAATGAAACATATCGGTGTTCCACCTGGAGTCGGACATTGGGCTCCGCCATAGTAAGAAGTTGGGGAATCATGTAACACTGTGGTCGACGTCTACGACGGGATCCAGGATCCCGGGTTCGAGCCCCGGAGGAGAAAGAGAAATGGTTGGGCACGTAAAGGTACCCGGGAGTTAAACAACGGTGGTTGGTTTCATCCTGAGGGATGTCAGTGGTTGACCTAGGGAGACATTGGTAAAGCCAGAGTACAGGCTTCCTGTCCC